CCCACCCCCATCCAGGCACAAGGAGCCTCCTAAGGAGCTGGACTCAGCCTCCTCAGACGAGGAGAATGAAGACGGGGACTTCACAGTGTACGAGTGCCCTGGCCTGGCCCCGGTGAGTGCCTGGGGTCGCAAGAGCAGCGGCATTACCAGCTGGAGGGGTTCCTCCACAGCAGGCTGTCACCCACCCACAGGGCACCGCCCATACCCTCTGTCCCCTCCTGTGCCTGCCTGCCTGCCGGCCTGATTTAGTACCGCCTTCACAGACAGGGGAGATGGAGGTGCGCAACCCACTGTTCGACCACTCCTCGCTGTCTGCGCCCCCACCAGAATCCCGCTCACCACCCGCACTGCAGTGACCTGGAGGCCAATGCCCAGCGCATCGGCTTGCCTGCCCGGGGGGCCCCCCGGGTTGGGAAGGGCAGGGCCAGCGTTTCCTATTAAAAAGGCACTGTTCTTACCCTCCTGCTTGTGTCAGGTGGGGAGGCACTGGCCTCCTGGATCCCTGGCTGGGAGATTCCCTGCCTTGTGCTTGGAGACCTTGCCAACCCCCTTGCACCTCCACTGTCCAGTCTGCACCCTGAAACTGGAGGGAGTGAGGAGAACCGTAGAACCCAGGCATGGGTAGGGAGTCCTGGAGACAAAGCCAATTAAAGTCTGTTCCAAATCTGAGCCTTCTGGGTGTGTTAGAGGTACTGGTCAACACTCAGCCCCCACCCTGCACTTGGGGACTCTGGTGGATGGACCCTGCGTGGGGGCACCTCTGTGGGGTATTTGTGAGGACCCTCCCATGGAGGCTAGAGGAGGGGCAAACACAGTAGTAGCACCTCCTCCCTTTTTACTGGGCCCCACCTGACCCACACACCTGTCCTACAGTGGGAGAGGGTAGGGAAGTTCTAGGTCCTGACTCTCTAGAGGACCCCATTTGATGTCGTGTAAAGGGCTGGACACACACCTGGATTTGGATACCTCCATTCCTGCCTGCTGTCCAACTGGGACAGAAGGCCAGGGAACAGGGTACAGGGATTGTGAGTTTCCTATAGAGGAGCACACAGACCTCAGGGGCCCCTGCATTTTTATGGGGGCATGCTGGTCAGAGGGACCTGAGGGACACAAATCTACGCACAGCCAGGTAGACAGGGGACCAGGTGAGGATAATTAGATGACAGGGTGCCCTTAATGCCTAGAGCTGGGATTTAGCCTGTCACCCCCCAATATGGGGAGCAAGGAGGTCCAGAGTGAGGGGGGGACATTGTTTGGTCGAAGCTGCTGAAATTGAGCCTGCACCAGGTCAGTGTGCAGTGGGGGTACAGAGACCAGAGCCGACTGCTCGGCTGAGGCTGGGAGGGAATGGCTGCTAGGGCCGGAGTCCAGGCTGCTGGACAGTCCTGAGATGAGGAAGGCAAGGCCAGTCTGGGACCAGCAGGGCACTGAAGAGCGGGTAGGGCAGACTGGTAGACATAGGATCTCCCTGCTTGGAGCTACTGATTTTTCTAAGCTATTTTTCTAAGTTATATTTTGAGGGTCAGAGTCCCCACCAACCAGGAAGCCCCCTTGTCCTTTATCCCCTCACTCCTCAGCTGTGACCTTGGACTGGTCTGCAGCTGGGATGGGGGCAAAGTTTGCGCTGAGCCAGGCATGGTGACACATACCTGTAATCTCAGGAGCTCTGGAGACTGAGGAGGAGTATGGCAAGTTCCAAGTCAGCCTCGGAAAACTTAGTTGAGGCCCTCAGCAACTGTCTCATAATAAATAATAATGATTTTTTAAAGGGTTAGGAATGTGGATCAGTGGTTAAGTGCCCCTGTGCTCAATTCTTAGTACCAGAAAAAAAAAAATGTGTGCTGAGCGTCAAGCTTGGCACATGCATGTCCACTGCCAAGCCATTTGTCTGAAGTAGTAGGGGAGAGGGCCACAGAGAGGTGGGACGTAGGGAGACTCCAGCCTCACCCCAGGGCCAAGAGTGGCCAGGCACCCAGCCAGTCTGTCTCACAGGTGGGATTTACAGATCCAAGGCTGGAGGCTCCCTACACCAGGGCCATCCTGCTGGCCTGACCCGGGGTCTGAGAGCAGCCACCTGCCGTGTCCCATCTTCTAGACCTTCTGGGGTCCCCAGTCTGTCCCCAGCATCCCTGCTGCTCACTGAGGCCTTGGCAAGGAAGGTCTGCCTCCCAGCGGCTGCCACCATGAGGGAGGGAGCCTGAGGGCCTGAGCAGGGGAAGACGGGCAGGGTCCCTGCAGCCACTCCCCTGGCAGACTCCTGTGAGCTCAGCACCCCCGCTTTTGGGTTCCATCAGTCCCAGGCCAGTTTTATGTGTCTTTGTTTGCCCCCCTTCCTCCTGTAAGTCCCAGGGGACAAGTGGGCTGCTCTGGAGACAGCAGGGGCTCTGGAGATCCCAATCCTGGCTAAGTGGCCTGACTGGCCCTGCCCAAGGCCCAATTCTTTGCCACCAGCAGCTTGGGAGCCCGGGCTGCTGTCCTGTCTCTGTCCCAGGGCCCCTGCTGAGGGGTACCTTCCCTGTCAGTAGGAAGAAGCTGATCTCACCTTAGCCCTCCGGCCCACCTGCCGAGCACTGAGCCCGCCTGAGTCTTCTACAGGTCTGTCCCCCACAGCCCAGCTCCTCCATCTGCTTCTCACCAGAGAAAGCCCACCGAGGCCTCTGCCTCGATGCTTAGTGGGACCCGCCTGGTGTATCCCCGAGCACAGATGCCAGAGGGTGAAAGCCACCCCCCCAGCAGACCTGGGGTGACACCATTTATGGAGATAACCTCCAACCTAGCAGTACTCTGGGGCACAGAATGTGCGGTGCTCTGATCCCTGAGTCAAGACTGTAGGAGACAGGACTTCCTCGTGTCAGCCCCTGGGAGGCGATGTCCTTCCATTGCACTTCAGACCCAGGCCCTTGGAGCTGGGTTGGTGGCCCCAGACTCGGGGTCCCAGTGGCAGCTCCCTGCCAGCTGAGCAGGGCGAGGAGCACATCCTGGTGCAGAATGGGACATGCAAACCTGGGGTGTAGTGCATGGGTCCCCACAGAGCCACCCAGGAGCTCCCAGAGATGGCAGGAGCTGCCCCTAGACATGGACAAGGACATGCTCCCCACACTGGGCTTGATGGGAAAAGGGGAGTAGAGGGGCTGGGCCACTCCCATGCCCTCAGGTGGCCCAGAAGGACTGCCCTGATGCTGCCTGGACCACCTGGATCACAGCACTGTCCTGGCACTGCCCTCTGGGTGTGCCTACCTTGGCTCCTGCCAGCCTCCAAGGCCCCATCTCCCTCGGCCCCCATCTTCCCAAAGGCAAGCCCAAGGATTCCTGCAGCCCAGCCTACCCTCTCACAGAGTGCCAGGGCCCCTTCCTCCGCAGCGGGACACAGCCAGCAGGGGGCCCTCGCGGCATGAGTCTGACTCTGTCCTACCTAGGCCAGCCCTTGGGGCCCAGTGTTGGTCAGGCAGGCTGCCAGGCTCTGCCCTGCTTCCTGTGGTGCCCTCAGGCAGAGGCTGAGTGTCCCTCACCCTCTGGCCACCCCAGGTGCTATTGTCTGTGGGGGAACAGCAGTCTCCAGGTGGGTGGCCTGCTCTCAGTCTAGAGCAGGGTCCATGGAGTTGAGGCCTTTTCAGCTAGTCCCCTTCCCTCCACGGGGTGGACCCTGGAGCAGGCAAGAGGGCCTGGCTGGGCAGAGTGAAGGATCCTGATCCCCTCATCTCCATGCCGCTGGGCTGGGTTGGTGCCCACCTGTGGCCCTGAGAGCCCAGTGAGTCAGGCCTAGCTGGGGGTGAGGCGGCAGGTGGAGGCCCCAGCTCGCCCTCTGACTCACACTCTCTCACCCTCTTATTTTTTCCTTTCATTCTGACCCATTTCTGGGCCAAATCTCAGAGCCCGTTTCCCAGCTAGCAGTTTCTTATGACAGGTGCCTGCGGCTGCCAACCTGAGGTGGCCCGTGTGTGGTGGGGAGCAGCCTGACAGCATCAGGCGGAGGTGGGGGAGGCTCCTTCGAATCCACCCAGGAAGGGAGCAGGCTGTGGGTGTGGGCGAGGTGGTGGCAAGGGCCCCAGCCAGCCTGGCAACACAAACAGGAAGGACAATAGGCCGGTTGCCCCAGGCTGATAGGATGGCCTCCTTCCTGCAGGCCCTGCTGCCCGAGGGGCACCCACCACCGGGAGAAGAGGTGGTGTGAAGTGAGGCCTGAAGCCAGGGCGTGGCTCCCCTGGGGTGGCCCCGCTGGGAGAGATGCCAGGGAGGGGCCCAGGTCCCAGGTGCCACTGTGGTCATCTCCCTAACACTGGGTGCTGAAGGACAGGGGCTCGGGTGGCTGTCCGTGCCGAGGCCAGTCTTCAGGGCGCAAAGTACCTCAGGCCAGCTGGGCGGTTTCTGAGGTGCCCACAGCCCTCCCTTCCCCTCAGGCATTGCACAAGCGCTCCACCACAGCAGGCTGCTGGTGGGGGGTGACTCCGAGGGGCCAAACTGCCACTCGTTCCTGGGCTCCCCTCTGCCCCCATGATGGGTGTGCGGCCAGCAGCTGGTTCCTGTCCCAACGGCAGCCTTGTGTCCGTGTGGGTTGGTAGCGAGGGAGAACCAGTGGTTCTGGCGCCCAGGAGTGATTGGCAAGGGGCTGGTGGGGGGTGGAGGGGCCCAGTGGTGGTGTTGGGGCAGCAGAGCTGGCCCACAGTTCCTGGCTACTCTCCTTCTAGGACTCCTGGTCTGGGCCCTCTGGCATCTAGGTCTGGCTTGCCACACCCTGCCTGGAACCTCAGGGCCCTGGGGAGCAGAGTGGGAGGTATGGAGATGAGGGCACCACTCTGCCTGGGAGCAGGGTGCGCCCTGAGCAGGGGCGACCCTTCAAGGCATCCAGATCTACAGGGGCTTGTTACATCTCCACCTTGGGGGCAGGGGGGGAACCTGACCTCAAGGCCCCAGACTGTGTCCCAGGGCTGGCTGGAGGGAGGGGGAAGGGACCTAGACCTCAAGCTGGGGCCAGACTTCTTCTTCCTGGAGCCAGAGCCAGACTCTGCCCGACAGTCTGTCTGTCAGCGTCAGGGACACAAGGACTCCTTCCCTTTCCAGCCTGGAAAGCCCCCTGCAAGGCAGCAAGGAGGAAGGGTGTGACCTGCAGCTCTTGCAGCCCACCCGGGACCCTGGGCCCAGCCCACAGCCTCTAGGTTCTAGGGGCACATGTCACTGGGCAGCCCCCAGTCCCTCGGGGGAAAATGCAGGCTGAGGTCTGCCCTCAGGAGCACGTGCTGGGGTCTCCTACCACCCCAGGATGGATCCCTCTCTGGGGATCTGGATTCTGGGGACAAGGCAGTTCCTAGAGGTAGCAGGGACGAGATGGGGTGGGGTGGCCCCATAGAAACCTCAGCCTTGGGGAAAGAGCTGAGCGCAGCACATCTGTGACACCAGAGGGTCTGGGAGACCACGGCCAGCTGCATAGGGGAAGTGGGTGATGCCACAGGGAGGGGCCACAGACTGGGGCAGTGCACTTGCTCTATGAGGGTGCCCTGGGTCTGTACGGTGGGTGGCATAGGGGGTGCCCATCTGGGTAGGGGCTCAGGGTGCTCACGCGGGCAGCCTTCCCTTCCCTGGACCAAGCAGGCCTCCTCCTCCTCTTCTGGTGCCCAGCTGGTCAGGTCTGGGCCTCTCCAGAGACCATCAGGGGCAGCTGGGGCCCTGGCTTCCTGTAGCTAACCCCACTCCCAGCAGAGGAGCAGAGAGGGAGGTGCGGGTGGGGACAGTGGTTGATGCCAAAGGCCACGGGGGCAGGGGCGGGGCAGGAGTGGGAAGGCCCCAACTGCCCTCACCTTGGGCAGATGAAAGCACAGTGCTTCCAGGCAGGGGCTGAGCAAGGGGCACAGCTGTGATTTCAGGGTGCCTCTGTCAGAGTGGCTGCTGTGATTTGAGAACCTCGGGTTTCTCCAGTGACTGATTCTGGGAGGTTGTGAATGAGTAATGCCAGTGAGTAGCTCCTTGGGGACCCTGGTTGGGAGGAGGGGTGGTAAAAAACGGGGACCTGCAGGTGTCCTGAGCCGGGTGTCAGCCTCTCCTCCTTGTCCTCCTGCAGGGCGTGGCACCACCTGGAGACTATGGGCCTGGGGGGGCCTTGCTGGGGGGGCCCTGCTCTCAGTCCTCTGGCTCCTGTGGCTGCTGGGGTCAGCCCCAGGTGGTGTGCCAGAGCCCCAGCCCATGGTCACCATCCTCATCTGGCATTGGCCCTTCACCGACCAGCCCCCAGAGTTGCTGGGTGACACCTGCACCCGCTATGGCATGTCCCGCTGCCGCCTGAGCACTGACCGAAGTCTGCTGGCCAGTGCTGATGCCGTGGTCTTCCACCACCGGGAGCTGGAGACCAGGAGGGCCCGCCTACCCCTGGCACAGAGGCCACGTGGGCAGCCCTGGATCTGGGCCTCCATGGAGTCACCCAGCAACACCCACGGCCTCGCCCGCCTGCGTGGCATCTTCAACTGGGTGCTGAGCTACCGGCGTGACTCGGACATTTTTGTGCCCTATGGGCGCCTGGAGCCCCGCTCTGGGCCTGCGCCCCCAGTGCCAGTCAAGAGCAGGATGGCCGTCTGGGTGGTTAGCAACTTCCAGAGGCGGCAACAGCGTGCGAGGGTGTACCGCCAGCTGGCACCTCACCTTCAGGTGGATGTGTTTGGCCGTGCCAGTGGGCGTCCACTGTGTGCTGACTGTTTGCTGCCCACCGTGGCTCCCTACCGCTTTTACCTGTCCTTGGAGAACTCACAGCACCGGGACTACATCACTGAGAAGTTCTGGCGCAATGCGCTGGCAGCTGGGGCCGTGCCTGTCGTGCTGGGACCCCCGAGGGCGACCTATGAAGCCTTCGTGCCTCCTCATGCCTTTGTGCACGTGGACGACTTCGGGTCTGCCCAGGAGCTGGCCGCTTTCCTCAATGGCATGAACGAGAGCCGCTATCGTGGCTTCTTTGCCTGGCGTGACAGTCTGCGCGTGCGGCTGCTGGAGGACTGGCAGGAGCGCTTCTGTGCCATCTGTGCCCGCTACCCCTACCTGCCACGTGGCCAGGTCTATGAGGACCTGGAAGGCTGGTTCCAGGCCTGAGCTCCCACAGGTGACAAGAGGTTTGTGGGCAGAAGGCTGATGTTGAAACCAAACCATGGGCATCCGGTCCCCAGGTCAGTCGTGCTAACCCAAGGCTCGGGTCAGAGACTAGGAAGCAGGGAGGAGCAGGCTGGGGGGCTGTGGAGCAGGCGCTGGGGGAGGAGGGGGGCTGGTGGGGTGCATGTTGCTCAGGCTGCTCAGAGAGGAAAGGCAGCAGAGGATCTACCTCCCCACCTTGAACATATCTCTGTAAACAAGGCCAGCTGAAAGGGTGGAGGCCGGCCCTGGGGACAAACCTGGACACCCTGGACATCCCCAGTGGAGGTGCTCTAGTCCTGGAGAGGCAGGCGCATGGCCCTGCTCTTCCTGTACCCTAGAGCCCCTGTGTGCAGGAGTGTTTGGCAACCCAGGGGCCTTGCAGGAAGGGAGGGTGCAATAAAGAACTGCAGACCTGCTGGACACTACCCTCCAGCCACGGGTCCTTGCTTCTGACTCCAGCCGGCCTGAGTGGCCTGGGGGCCCTCATCCTCCTTCCGCCTAAGACTCTGCCAAGTGGCACCCCCTCAAGGTGCCTCCCCTGACGCCCAGAGGTCTAGGTGTATGGAGAGCAGAGAACCACAGCCAGAAACCCAGGTGGGCTAAGGTGCATCTCAGGCCAGAGGGGCTCCTGCGTGTGACAGGGCCTGACTGGTGACTTGGAGTCCCCGTGGTGGTGGTGGCAGCCTGGCCAGCTAGGGGGTTGGCCTTGAGGATGCTGTGGCTGCCAGGGAGCTCCTTTTGGTGTTCTGGTATGGGGAGATGACATTAGAGGTGGGGGGTGAGGCTGTTGGTGGTGCTGACAAGGGCCCTGGCTGGCCAAGCCCCTGGGGTGGGGGCAGGGGCTTCTCTTGGGTGGGCAACGGATACGAGCAGGAAGCCCCCCCCCCCACCCAGTAGCTTGTGGGGAATGCCTACCTAGCTTCCTGTCCTGACCCAGCCTTCTGGGCTAACTGGGGAGAAGTAAATGTCCTGAGACTGGGGATTGGGGGTGGCGTTTGTTCCCTTGCTCTACCCAGGGTCACCTCCCCTACAAAGGACTTGGGAGGGAGTAGGGAGTTGCAGTACCATAAGTTTTTCATTCACTTTGGGGGTTCCCTCTGTGCATCCCAGGCTGGACACCACACAGCCTCACACTTTCCCATCCCACTCACAGGCTGGTAAGAAACCATCAAAGCATCCGGTAAGACGGCCCTCAGCTCCCTGGGTCCAGCTTTCCCTCTTCTGCCCTCTGCTGGCCATGTGGAGAAATGAACCCTGCAACCCGCTTAGGGCTGGGAAGGTTCAGTCCTGTTCTGTCCTGGTTGTGGCCTGTCTTCAGCAAGTGATGGGTCACCTTTGTGGAAGTTGGAGTTGGACACCTATGACCCTCAGACCTGGTGATACAAGCCAGCATAGGAAGGCAGACTGTTTTCCAAGCACCACGCCTGTCCCCACCAGCAAAGAGCTGTTTCTGGGGCCAGGGTCCCTCGAGTCTTCTCACTGCTCAGAGGACTGCAGCTGAGCAGAGCACCCAGGTGTCCTGCCAGCCCCATGGCTGTCTGTAGTGGGCTACAGCTCTATACTGCTATTGATCGGCACTATAGTTTGAATATTAGTTTAACTTTTTCATACAGAGCAGAACTGTCACCCCAACAGTTTCTCTGCCTGGTGTTCACATCCCTACAGAATGGCTGGATGCAGCCTGCTTGACTCACCCCACCAAACTCACACATGCAGATGTGCCACAGCTTCTACTATTGGTCACAGTGTGACCCCATGGAGCTCCTGCTGGGCAGCTGGGCACCGACTGTGGTACATGCCTGCAGTCCAGCTACTTGGAGTGTTGAGGCAGGAGGATCACTTAAATCCAGGAGTTAGAGACTAACTGGGCAGTGTATCAAGACCCCCAACTCAAAATAAGAAAAAAAAAATCTTGTGGGAAACTCGTTTGTGGGACCCAACAAAGAAGATGGACCAGGTCCTGCCCCACCTGCCCTCTCTGACCTGTGAGTATCTGTAAGGGCAGTCTTCATCTTTACCTCTTTCCTAATCGGTGAAGGAAGGGTGCTTTCCATCTTAAAAGCCTAATCAATATCACTTAGACAACAGGTGGCTCATTCATTATGGGGTGGCTCAGGCCATTTCAGTCCCCCTCACCAGGGGCCTCCGTTAAAGGGCACCAGTCAAGATGTGCTGGTCGGGTTGGACGGCGTCTTTTGCAGCCTGGAAGGCAGTGCCTGACCTGCACAGGTGAGGTCTCTGCCTCCACCCTAGGTGAACCCGCACTTGTCCTAGGTTAGAGCAGCTGCTCCTCGGGGCCTATCGGGCTCTCGCGTCCAAGGGAGATCTCTGCCTGGCATGGCGGAGTTGAGCGTGACCTGGTGGGAACCAAGGCCTTCAACTTTCCCTCACGGTGCCTGGATGATAGCGACCACGTTGGGGCACCTCTGCAGGCGACCCCCAGGCCTGGAGCCCCTGGAAGAAGCTACGGTGCACAAAGATTCTTAGATCCGGAAAGGGGTGATCCACGGGTCTCGGTTCAGACGCGTGCTCTGAGGGGTCCCTGCTACGGCACCGCACGGGGTGGGAGGACGATGGAGGCCTCGCTCGCCGCGCAGGTGCAGGCGAGCCCCGACCCTGCGAGCGCCCCCTGATGGACGCAGCGTGCGGCGCGGCTCCTTTAAGCGGGGGCGGCGGGCGCGGGCGGGGCGCGGCGCAGAGTCGCTGTCGCCGCGGCCGCCGGGGTGGAGCTAGCGCGGAGCCGGTCCCGGACGCCCGAGCGCCCCGCCCCCGCGCGGGCGATGCCGAGCGGCGCGGCGGGCAGAGGGGCCCGGCGGGGCGCACAGAGGAGCGGGCCGCGGCGGTGAGCGGCGGAGCGCGGCCGCGCCATGGGCTTCCTGCACCAGCTGCAGCTGCTGCTCTGGAAGAACGTGACACTGAAGCGCCGGAGCCCGGTGAGCCCCCGCGCCCGCCCGCCAGCCGGAGGCCGCGCGCCCGGGTCCACGGCGCGCTCCCCGCGCGTACGTGAGCCGCGGGCCCGGGCCGAGCCCCCTTCCTGCAGCCCGGCTCTGCTGGTCTCCGGCCTCGGGGAGGGTCTCGGCGGTGCCAGCGCGCCGCCCGCGCCCGCTGACACTCGCGGCGCTCGGCTGAGTCACGGGCGGACGCCCTCCGCAGCGCTCGCGGGCCGGCTGCGCTGGGGGGTGGGGGTGGGGATGGGGGCTTGTGGCCCCCAGGACTCGGGCTCCCGGGAGGTCCTGGTTCCCAGGACCCAGCGCTGGCCAGGGCACTCCATCCAGCACAGAGGCTCCGTGGGCCCGGGCCCACCCCCTGTAGCCCTGCAGAGACCTGTCCATTCCCTCCCTTCACCCGCCCTCTGCCCTTGGGCAGACGCCTGAGGCCCAAGTTGGTTCCAGGCAGCCGCCACCTCCTCCTCCTCCTCTTCCTCCCCTCCGCACCTCTCCTGGCACATCTACAACCCTGGCTTCTGCCTTCTCACCACGGAGAACGACCTTGTGCCAGCCTAGGCCAGCATCCCAGCACCCTTTTGTCCTTTGGGACAAGTTCTCCCTAAGGCTGATCCACACTCTGAATCCTCCAGCCCCAGGGCTCTCTGGGATGGGTCTCTCTAAGTGGAGCTGTGACCACCAGGTTCTTCAGCACTTCCCAGGACAGCATTCCTAGGTGGGGAGCAGGGCTGGGGCATGGATGTCCTGCTGGCCCTCTGCTGCTGGTCCCTGCTCTGGCCCTGGGGAGGACAGGTGCAGCACAGGAGCTGGAGAGACCTGAGCCAGCTTGGGTTTCTGAAGCCCTTGGGATTTCCCAGCACAGGCCACAGAGTGGTGGGGGTTCTAAGGAGGAGGTTGCATCCTTTGGCCCACCCTGGGCACCAGGAACCCTTGGGTAGCACCAGCTCCTGCCTACATTCCTCCTTGAGAGGGGCTTCAAAGTACACAATGGGAAACTGGCGGACAGGCTGTACGCAGGGTGGGGTAGTCGTGGTCATTACAGCATATAGGATTCCTCTGGGCACCTGGCCCTGGCTGGGAGCCAGGGTTGGGTCCACATCCTGCCCACAGTGCCTAGGGCTGGTGGCATGGGGTCTGGAGGATTAGGCCACAGATCTAGCTATTGGGTCCCTGGGGACAGCAGGGTCGGGCTGGGTGAAGAAGGGGCAGGCTGTGGGTTCATATTAGTATTAGCCCCAGGGCATTTGTCAGAAAGCCCCCCCCCCCAGGGCTTGCGAGCAGACAATGAGATGTGGGTCTGGCCTCCACTGGGGACTCCAAGGCTCAGGGAAGGGAGCAGTAGCTTATGGGACTACCTGAGAAACAGGTGGGAAGTGCCCAGGAGAGGTCCCAGCCTGCTAGGTTGGGTTGTCTCCCCAGACCTTTCCAGATCCCCCACCCTACAGCACCCCCAGAGGCCCCTGGGCCACAGTGGAGGACCCCAGTCTGTGGCTGTGGCCAATGAGGATCTCTTTCTCCAGGAGAGCTGAGTCGTTGCTGGGCTTGCATGTGCGGCTGGGGCTGGCTAGACACCAGGCACTCACTCTTTGGATCCCCAGTTTCCCAGAAAGGGTCTTGGGCATTGGAGCTGGACTTCTGGGGCTGGGTTTGGACAGGTGGAGGCTTGGTCTTGTCTGCTGTGTGCCATGCTGGGAACAGGGGTACGCATGTGCAAACCTCAGGGTTGAGGGCAGGAATCCAGGACCTCTGCCCTGCATGCCTCCTCCTCCCAGGGACTGTACCTCAAGTCCCCTGCCTGGGATTGTGGCCTGTCCCCTCCTAGTTAGGAGATGTGGGTCCACTTGGGGCATGAGGCTGCCCATGGTGGAGGAAGGAAATCATTATCACCAGGTAGCTGGGCAAAAGGCCACAGCATCACCCTTGAGTCCCCCTGTCTTTGCCCTTGTCACAACAGTCATGAGAATTTGGGTGGGGGGTGGGCATCTGGACCCTGAGACAATGTTTACACACAGGGCTGGTCTTGGGGGAGAGAGGTTGGCCACCTTCAGGAGCCCAGGTGGGGCACCCAGGTGGTGCTGGACCTGTACCTCCTGTCCGCCAGCTAGGACTCTCCTCCTCCTGGCAGCTCATGCAGGGCCGTTGCTATAGCAATGGGGGAGGCAGCTGTGGCCTGTTGCTGCAGTTACAGTGGCAGAGGTGCCCAGTGGCCGGCAGGTGTGGGTGGGGCTGGCACCTGGCCGTGACCCCTGCTTCCAGCCACCTTTGCTCTGGGGTGCCCACAGTGCCTCCTTGGACTGTCCTGGACTCCATGTGGCTCAGGGAAGGGGTGGAGGCTGGCACAGGCTGGAGCGAGTGTGGGGTGTGGACACAGCATGGTGTTCTGGATCACAGAGCACTATTGTCCAAGCACAGTGGACACTGCTGGGGACGGGGGCCCAGCCTAGCCTCACACAACACTGCTGGAGGCCTGGTCTTTTTTGGTGTGGGGGTGAGGACAAAGGAAACTGATGCCTCTGAGAAGATCCAGGGGGGGGCAGGCCCAGGGCCCTCTGTCTTGTGGCTCTCAGGGCTGGTCTACAGGGCTCCTCAAGAACACTGGCTCTCTTGCACCCTCCCTGAGCTGGGAACCTGACAAGGAAACCTGGGCCCTGGGGTTCTCAAGCATGTTTCCCTGACCCAGAGCAGGCCCACGAGGCTCCCCTTGCAGCCTGGCTTCAGGTAGCAGGAGCTGTCAGTGAGACCACGGTGGAAGCAGTGCCTTGGCCTCAGGGCTGGGGCTGTCAGATCCTGGCCAGGTCTCCCCAGAGGCTCAGGGCCCTGGGCTTAGGTGGGCTTCCCTTACCCCAGGCCTCACTTCCCCAGGCTCTTGTGTGTGGGGGTACAGTGTGCTGCTGCAGTGGGAGGGGGTGGCCCTGGGAATGTGTGGGAGCTGCAGGCAGGAAAAGACTGTGTGTGCTACAGTGGCCTCCAAGATCCTGCCCAGGTGGCCCCGCAAGTGAGGAGGTGGATGCGTATGGGTCAGAGTGATCACTAGTTGGCTGACCTGGCCCTGCTGGCCCAAGGCTCCTCAGAGGGCCAGTGTTCCCCAGCATGGCAAGTAGAACTCAGAACAGGGACAGGAGACCTGATTTGGGGCACCAGATAATGCTTACCTCCTGGTGCCTGGAAGGGGCTGCAACCTCTGCTGGACCTGAAAAACCTGTGCAGAGCCGCAGTCCTGGCTGGGCTGGGTTGGCCTGTAGGGAGGTCAGGGATGGGTAGAGCCGACATAGGTCCCTTGTGTCCAGCCTGGGCAGGTGGTGGAGGGGAGGCCAGGCTTATGTGGTTCACCCTTTTCAGTGGGTCCTGGCCTTCGAGATCTTCATCCCACTCGTCCTCTTCTTCATCCTGCTGGGGCTGCGGCAGAAGAAGCCCACCATCTCAGTGAAGGAAGGTAAGGCAGCGGCAGGTCTGGGACACAGTGGGTGCACAGGGAGGGTCAGGTGCCCTCACTGCTTCGATTGAGCATGTGTGCTCAAATGCATGGTCCTGGCCACATCCCCTAGCTGTGCTGTGGAGGTGTGGCTGGCTGTGGCCACCGGTGGACAGCCCTGTGGCTGGCAGGCCAGGCACTCACTGTCTCCTCTGTTCTGTTTCGACCCACCTTGCCCTGCCCCTGCATGGTCTCTTGTCCTCTTCCACCGGCCGTGTGCAGTCTGTAAGTGATGGCTCAGGTAGCAGCCATGGAGGACTCTGTGGGCCTCCTGGTGCAGCTTGAGCACCCTTCCCGCTTGTATTAACAGCACCCCCTTCCCCTGGCCCAGGACTCCTGCAGAGTTCCTTCCCTGGTCAGGAAGAGCAGGCTTACAAGGCAGTGGTGGGCAGTGATGGGGTGGTAGTGGGTATTGAAAGGCCAGGCCACTGGGCCACCACTGATGTCCTGGTCAGGCTGCTGGGCGTTTCCTCATCAGGGTATCTATGGGGTCACCTGGCCATGCCTTCTAGGGGTGGGATGCCTGGGCTAACCTGGGCTGAGTCTGGGCTAGCCTGAGCTGGGGCTGGGTCAGCCTGGATGCTCTCCCTTCAAACTCCTGCAGGCACTTGCACTCATTCTGCTAACGAGCTGGCCTAGGAGGTCAGAGGTCACTG